CATCCCATATGGGCACCGGTTTGAGACCCAGCTGCCCCACTTCTGATCCAGCTCTTTGCAATGGCCTGGGAAAGCAATAGAAGATATCCCAAGTTTTTGGACTCCTGCACCTGTGTGGGAGACCCAGAGGAAACCCCTGGCTCCTAGCTTCGGATCAGCACAGCTCTGGCCACTGCAGCCAATTGGGGAGTGAACCAGCAGATGAAAGACCTCTCTCTCTCTCTCTCTCTCTCTGACTCTCCTTCTCTGTGTTAACTCTGGCTCTCAAACAAATAAATAAACCTTTTAAAAAAATAGAAAAAGAAATGAGGGTATTCCAGGCAGACAGAAGATTGTATGCTATGGTGCAGAGGTGAACAAGCACGATGTCTTTGTGGAACTGTGAGAGGATGACAACGATGGTGAGTAAACAGTAACAGCTGCAGTGGGGATCTGGCCTAGCAGTTAATAGGCCAGTCAGGAACACTCCCTGCATCAGAGCGCCTGGATTTGAGTTCCAACTCTGTGTCTGAGTTGGAGCTTCCTGGTAATGCCTACCCTGAGATGCAGGGGTAATGGCTCAAGCAGTCGACCTTAGTCAACAGAGTATGGAACTGCTCTAAGTGAGAAATAACAAGATTTTTAAATCAAAGTGAAAGACACGAGTATTGGCAAGAAGAGGCGTTATGAAGCAGAACTGAAAACTGGATTTAAGAGAAAAGAGTTAACAATGGTTCTTAAGACGGGTGTTGTGGCACAGTGGGTTAAGCCACCGCTTGGGATACCTGCATCCCATATCTGAGTGTCTGGGATCAATTTCCTCCGTGGCTTCCAATCCAGCTTCCTACTAATGCACTAGGAGGCAGCAGGTAACGGCCCGAGTGCTTGGGTTCCTGTCACCCACATGACCTGGATGGCAGTCCTAGCTCCTGGCTTTGGTCTCACAGTCCAGGATGTTGAGGGCATTTGGGGAGTAAGTCCATGGGAGGATGCTTGCATGCTCGGACTCCATCTTCCTGTCTGTCACTCTGCTTTTGAAACCAATAAATACATCTTAAAAAAAAAAAAAAACATGGTTCCTAGTTCGAATTACTCGGTAGATAGATACAGAAGTAGGAGAAGAGGAACAAGTTTGGAAGAAAGCTAACACATTTAAGGGGCATGTTAGCTATTCCACATGCCTGTTATTTATTCAAATTTTGTAATGTTCACATCACTAACTTTCATCATCAAACTGATTCCCAGCTGGGGCACAAGTGGGGACTCAAAAGGGAGGAAGGGTAGGTGGAAGCACAAGAGTAATTCAGAAAGTGTGGAAAACTTGAATTAAGAGACATGTTTATTTTGATGCAAAAAAATTTGGAACCCATCCAGTTTTTTCATAATACACATTTTCCATGAACTTTTGGAAGTACCTTCACTGTTAATTATTTAAGCAGAATTTGGTTCCCCAAACTCATGTAGACCTTTAAGCCTTAAAGTCTTTTGTTAACAGTTAATGAATTAATGTTAATGGTTAATGGATTAGGGTGGAGGACTGATCCTGTTATGGTGTCTGAAGGTGGGCCCTTTGGGAAGTGACTGAGTTACGTTGCTGAGGTAGAGCCCCATTATGGAATCACAATGGCTTTATGAAGACACCACACAGAGGGTAGATGAAGAGTGTGTTCCTTGTGACTCTCTGCTTTCTGGCTCATCACATGATCTTCCCTCCATATGTGTATACCATCCATTGCCCTCATTAGACACCAGGCTAATGCGTTGCCATGTCTTAGACTGTGAATCTCCAAAATTGTAAACCAAAATAAAACTCCTTATTTCCTAAGAAATCCCTCTCAAGTATTTAGTTAAAAAATAATAAAAAGTTATTGGGGCCGGCGCCGCGGCTCAATAGGCTAATTCTCTACCTAGCGGCGCCGGCACACCGGGTTCTAGGCCCAGTCAGGGCGCCGGATTCTTTCCCGGTTGCCCCTCTTCCAGGCCAGCTCTCTGCTGTGGCCAGGGAATGCAGTGGAGGATGGCCCAAGTGCTTGGGCCCTGCACCCCATGGGAGACCAGGAGAAGCACCTGGCTCCTGCCTTCGGATCAGCACGGTGCGCCGGCCGCAGCGCACCAGCCGTGGCGGCCATTGGAGGGTGAACCAACGGCAAAGGAAGACCTTTCTCTCTGTCTCTCTCTCACTGTCCACTCTGCCTGTCAAAAAAAAAAAAAAAAAAAAGTTATTGGAGTGTCTAGATTTGCGTCCCAACTCCATTTCCAATTCCAGCTTCCTGCTACTGTGTACCCTGTGAGGGAGCGGGTGACTGCTGGTTCAAGTACTTGGGTTCCTGCCACTCATGTGGAAACCTGTATAGAGTTCCTGGCTTCGGCCTGGTCCAGCCTCAGGCATCTGGGGAATGAACCAGCAGACAGAAGATCTCTCTCTGATTCTGTCTGCGTTTCAAACAAATGAAAATAAATAAGTAAAAATTAAAAAGAAATTAATGAAACTAAAAATAAGTAATGCAATGAAAAGCTAATACACTTGTATATTAGAATCTGGGTGTTCATAGGTATATGTGTATGTGTAATCTAATTATTATCCCCCTCCACTGTCCTCCACAGAGTCTGATACCACAATGTCTCCTTGAGAATCGCTGTCTACTATATCTATGAATATGCCGATAAAGAAGATGCTGTTGAGAAAAATGAATGTGTCCCATGAAGTCACAGAACTGTAAGACTAGGAGACTTTAAAGAACATCTGCACTTACTAGGAGTCAACCAAGAGCTGCTTGGAAATACACAAGAGCATTTTTGGTTGTCATAATGGGAGGTGCTACCGACATTTAGTGCCTGACAGCCCAGGGATGCTAAGCATCCTGGAAGTAGAGGACAGCTCCAAATGTGAAAACTGCAAGGGCCAGGCATTGTAAAGTGGGTTAAGACACTGCCTGTGACCCTGCATCCCATATCAGAGCACAGGTTTGGTTTAAGTCCCAGGTGCTCTGCTTCTGATCCAGTTCCCTCCTAATGCATATGGTAAGGTAGCAGAAAATGGCACAAGTGTTTAGGCTCCTGGCTTTGGTCTGGAACAGCCTTGGCCACTGTGGCCATCTGGAGAGTAAACCAGCAGATTTAAGATCTCTCCCTCCCTTCCCTGCTCCTTCTCTTTGTAACTATCTTTCAAAAAAAAAAAACTAAAAAAAAAGTGCAGAGTCTTCAAAAAGTTCACAGAAAACACTAGTTACGAAAACTATGCATGGATTTAAAAATCAATAAGTTTATCTTTTAATACTTTTCCAGGCGTTTTTGAAGCTCCCCTGTATCTTGCCCCAAACCACAACTGCACCCTTTGAAGAAAAACTTTAAACTCCACATCACATAGATGAGGGAACTGACATCCCAGAGAAGGCAATGATTAGCACCCTCCTGCACAGAAGGGCCTTTTACTCAGGGCTTTAGACATATGACGTCTCTCATGTACTGGTCAGATTACTTTTTGACAGGCAGAGTTAGACAGTGAGAGAGAGAGACAGAGAGAAAGCTCTTCCTTTTTCCGTTGGTTCACCCCCAAGTGGCCGCTACAGCCAGCATGCTGCAGCTGGTGCACTGCACTGATCCAAAGCCAGAAGCCACGTGCTTCCTCCTGGTCTCCCATGCGGATGCAGGGCCCAAGGACCTGGGCCATCCTCCACTGCACTCCCAGGCCACAGCAGAGAGCTGGACTGGAAGAGGAGCAACTGGGACAGAATCCAGCGCCCTGACTGGGGCTAGAACCTGGGGTGCCGGCGCTGCTAGGCAGAGGATTAACCTAGTGAGCCACAGCGCTGGCCATATGCCTTCTTTACTGCTTTCCAGTGTGGTTCTGGCAGGCTTGTGGGCCATCACACTGCCTTGTTATCACAGCCCATCTTCTCTAGTTCAAGATCCCCACCTTCTCTTTACAGAGATTTAGGCTGGAGATGCAGATGTGAAAGTCATCAGACGGCCGACGCCACAGCTCACTAGGCTAATCCTCCGCCTTGCGGCACCGGCACACTGGGTTCTAGTCCCGGTCGGGGCGCCGGATTCTGTCCCGGTTGCCCCTCTTCCAGGCCAGCTCTCTGTTGTGGCCCAGGAAGGCAGTGGAGGATGGCCCAAGTGCTTGTGCCCTGTACCCCATGGGAGACCAGGATAAGTACCTGGCTCCTGCCATCGGATCAGCGCGGTGCGCCAGCCGCAGTGTGCCAGCCGCGGCGGCCACTGGAGGATGAACCAACGGTAAAGGAAGACCTTTCTCTCTGTCTCTCTCTCTCACTGTCCACTCTGCCTGTCAAAAAAGAAAAAAAAAAAGTCATCAGCATAGAAAGCCTTGAGATGGGTGAGGTCACTCTGACCAAACATAAAAGCAATACACAGCTCTGGGGACATAAACATTCAGAATCTAATGGAAAAAGAGGAACCAATAAAGGAAATTGAAAAGAAAAAGTCAGAAATGTAGGCAGAGAGGTTCAAGATGACATAATGAACTAATGATAAGCTCTGTTTGTTTTAAAAATAATGACCACTTATCAGTACCTACCTTCATTGACTTATTGAATGTATTCTTTGTTTCTTCCTTGCTAACACAAATCAGAATTGAATTTGAGGTAGGCAAGGATCCATTAAGTCTCTTTCCCAGTCTCAGCTGTGGCTGTGGAGGCCATGTGATCCATCCTCACCAGTAAGATGAGTGCGGTTGGGCACCCCCTCTCACGCCTGACTGAGCTTCTATAGGGCATAGAGAATCCTATTTGGTAGGTACTCTAACATTCCTAACAGAAAAGAGAATTTTTCAAAATAACTAAGGGAGCTTGTCCTACCAGCTGGCGAGCATAGCATCAAGTCCAGCAATGAGAAGAGCCTTAAGAGGCACAGGAAGTGATACCCGGAAGTCTGTATGGGGTTGGAGGGAAACTACAGAGCGGGCTGGTACACTCTGGGGAGGGGTTACAGCTTGAAACAGTCCATAAGAGAACCCCTCGAAGCCTCCCTGCTACACAGTCCCACACCCCTCTCACCTTCAGAGATTCAATCGTGGCCTGCCTGTAAGTCTTCCCTCCAGCATCTTTCTTCCGAGGGCTACTCTGGACTCTGGGCGTTCGAATGACGAATTTATCCATGGCCAGGGGACTTCCACTACCTTCACGTGCTTGCAGCGTGTTCTGCGAGAGAGAGAGAGAGAGAGAGAGAGAGAGAGAGAGAGAGAGATGCTAAAGCTTCCCCGAGACTGCTGGGATGTGTGTTCCCCAGAGCGACACGGCTGGGGTCTTGGGGAGCACTTCTGGATTACGGGAGCCCTTGGGTGGGACTGCCAGGAAGGCTGCTCCTGGAAAAGCAAGCTCGTGCCGAGAAATCAACCTGGGCACAGTGATCGGTCTACTTCCTGAGCTGGGGGGGGGGGGGGGTTCCTGGCTTCCAGGGGTGCACACCATGGAGGGCGGTCCGACATCGCGCCGGGCGCTCAGCCTGCAGACTTCGAAACCCTCTTCCGACCAGGACTGGGCCGGTTAGGGATCCACTGGGCTCAGCGAAGCCCGCCTCACCACCGCCCATCACAGCCGCAGGCCCAAGGATTGCCTTGACAACCAGCACTAAAGACTACCGCTCCTCAGCAGGGACCATCCCCAGGAGCACCTGCCCGGCGCTCCCAGGACGCTAACCACGACGGTCACGCTCTGGACCCTCGAGCGAGACGAAACGGGCACCCGACACGGGTGTGACAGGAGACCCACCAGGGAGAACAGCCTTTGCAGCAGCAACAGCAGCAGGGCCTCCTCAGAGCGCACCCTCTGGGCCCCCAAGGCTGGGTCCGAACGCTGGAACCGAACCGATGCCCCTCGCCCCGACCACGGGTCCACAGAAGCGGCTCCCGGGACGGCGCGCTCGGGGACCCCGCCGGCTCCCGCCCCGGCATGCACTGCGAAGGGAGCGCGCGGCCGTGGTTTCCCGAGAGCGCGCGCCGCCGCCGAGAACTACCCGCCCCAGCCTGCCCCAGAAGGCGCGCCGGCCGCGCTAACACTCGCGATGGTTGTCGCCGCCTCCGCACTCCTGCCTACGAGTTCGTGGACACCGAGGGGGAGCAAGAGGCTGCGGCTCCGGCGGAGGCGGAAGCGGAAGCAGCGGGCGGCGGGGCGGGGAAGGGGGCCGGCCCCGGAAGGAGGAGGAAACCCTGAAAAGAAAACAGCAACAAGCCGAGCTGCCGTGACAGAGGGGGACAAAATGGCGGCGCCGAAGGGGACCCTCTGGGTCAGGGCCCAACGGGGGCTCCCGTCGCTGCTGCTGCTCACGATGGCCCTGGCCGGGGGCTCGGGCACCGCTTCGGCTGAGGCGTTTGACTCGGTTTTGGGCGACACGGCGTCTTGCCACCGGGCCTGTCAGTTGACCTACCCACTGCACACCTACCCCAAGGTAGGGCCGGTCCGAACCGGGCTACGACCCTTCCTGGCTCCCCCACCCCTGCGTGGGCTCTGGGACTCTGGCGGTTGAGCGCGCCCCTGTTATAACCGCTGCCTCCCGCCGGGGTGGCTTCTGTCTCCCTCCCTAAGCCTGCCTGCACCCCGTCCCTGCCGGAATCACCGGAAGTTTGTGCTGCACCAGGCTGGGGGACACAAAGATGGGACAGACCGGGTCGCGTTCGTGTGGGAGCCCGCCGGGTCCTCGCGGGGCGGGAGGCAGGCGCGTAGCCGCTGCGTTGCTGCGCGAGGCCGGGGGAGGCATTCCACGTAGCCGCCCCCGGGCTCAGCGGCGCGACGAAGGGCTCTCCCCTTGTGCACTTGCTGTGTGCGGGAGACGCCGCGCCCGGGGGGACGCAGAAACTTGGCGCTCTGTGCGGCTGGCAGGGAACCCCTGGAGGCCGACGGGAGGCCGCCTTCCTAGGGCTTCCCAGCTCGGAGAGGGGGGTGACGGGGTCGCCCCCGGCCCGGGCTGCTGCCTCTTACAATTCCACTCCCCCTCCTCCAGGCGCTCTTTCAGCTTCTTAAGAACAGTGTTTACTCAAGATTTTAAATTGCTTGGTGTCTCTCCCCACACCTTCGCCATATATAATTTGGGTGCACACACCCTACGGGTTATAAAAGCTTCTGCTGATGTTGCTGGGTTTTTTTCTTCTTGTCCCTGACACACACACACACACACACACACACTCTCTGTGGGTTATAAAAGCTTTTGCTGGTGTTCTTGGTTTTGTTTTTTTTTTTCTCCTCCTCTCTCTCTCTCTCTCTCTCTCTCTCTCTCTCACACACACACACACATACACACACGCACGCTGTGGGTTATAAAAGCTTTTGCTGGTGTTGCTGGGTTTTTTCCTCCTTGTGCCTTCGTCTTCTGTAAGTTGTTTGCTTACCCATTGTGGCTGGCCTCTCTGCCCTCAAACTACAAAGTGAAGTTGAGGATGTTGCGTGGTGGCAAGTGCTTTCAGGTCCTCCAAATGAAAAGTGCTCAATGCTGTCACTTCCCGTGCTGTACTTATTGCCAGTTTTCTCATTGCCTGAGGCTTATATCTACCTTCAAGGAAAAAGAGTGGGGGGATTATCCTAAATCATTGTCAATCAAAATAAGAAGTTGTAACTTCCAGACTGAATATTGCCCCTTTCTTTGATGAACTTAACATCATTAAGAGGATTGTATGAGGAAACTTATTAATATTGATTTGATCTACAATTGGGCTGAGACTTTATTTTGTATTGTTCTAACGCGTTTCCTTTTTTAAGATGTTTTTCCTAGCAAATTTGTAATATGAACCAGAATGCTGGGAGAACAACGAAATTATTTGAAAGGCTATACATTCCTGGAATCTTTTGATACTTTTTATAATATCTGTTGTTTTCTTTTTGGGAAAAAAAAAGATTTATTTATTTGAGAGGCAGAGTTACAGAGAGAGGAAGACACAGAGCAGTCCATCCGCGGTTCACTCCCCAATTGGCCACACCAGATGGAGCTACGCTGATCCAAAGCCAGGAACCAGGAGCTTCTGGTTCTGGACCCAGAAGGTCTCCCATGTGGGTGCAGAGACCCAAGCACTATGGGCCATCCTCCACTACTTCCCCAGGCCATAAACAGAGAGCAGGATCAAAGTGGAGCAGCCAGGACACGAAATCAGTGCCCACATGGGATGCCAGTGCCACAGGCAGAGGCTTAACCTACTGTGCCACCAGCACCGACCCCTGATATCTGTTACTTTCTAACAATTGGTGTGATACCTATAAATAATTTTTTACTTACTCATTCCAGCTATTTTTTTTTAACATTTATTTATTTGAAAGAAAGGCAGAGACAGAGAGGTCTTTCATCTGCTGGTTCACTCCCCAAATGGCCGCAATGGCTGGAGGTGGGCCTATCTGGAGCCAAGAGCTTCTTCAGGGTCTCCCATACAGATTCAGGGCCCAACCTCTTGGGCCATCTTCTACTGCTTTCCCAGGCTATAGCAGAGAGCGGGATTGGAAGTGGCACAGCTGGGACTCGAACTGGTGCCCTTATGGGATGCCGGCGCTGCAGGCAGTGGCCTTTACCCACGCCGCCAGCCTCCCAGCTGTTCTTGACAGGAACTCCAAATCCTCTGACCCCCTGTATGTCTGGTCTTAAAACTTACTCTCTACTTAAATCTGTTTGCCAAATATAAAGCAGGGGAGGGGAGTTTATCATGTCATTATCTCTAATTCTCAAGACAGCCCTGCAAAATGAGTTTTACAATTAAGTAAATTGAGGCTCCAAAAGGTTAAGAGACTTGCCCAAGATCACGTAACCGAGAATAAGTGGTAGGGTAGGAATTCAGTCCTAAAATTTAATACACCAGTGCTGCCTCATGTTAATTAAGTTGCATCAAAATATTTTTGTTTCACGATTTCTGTTGGGCCTGTCTTTGAATTATTGTGCTTTGCAGCTAGGAAAATGCAATGTATATTATAAGAAATTAGATTAATTTACAAGTCCATATTGCCTCTCTTGGTTTGATATTTGTAATTGCCAGATAGAAATCTCATTTTAATGACTCTTTTTCAGAATTAATATTGCATTGCAAGAAAGTAGAATACTTTTCCTGTTTGTAAGTAGTTACTTTTAAATTATCTTTTATCTTTTAACTGTGCTCAAAAATATAATTGCACAATTTGCCTAGGTTCTAATACAACTGACATGTTGTGTTAATAACAAAGCTAATTAGAGCCAACCTAATTTTTTTTTAAAGATTTATTTTTTTATTTATTTGAAAGACAGAGTTACAGAGAGAGCTAGAGACAGAGAGAGAGGTCTTCCATCCACTGGTTCACTCCCCAATTGGCCGCAACAGCTGGAGCTATGCCAATCCAAAGCCAGGAGCCTCTTCTGGGTCTCCCATGTGGGTGCAGGGGCCCAAGGACTTGGGCCATCTTCCACTGCTTTCCCAGGCCATAGCAGAGAGCTGGATTGGAAGTGGAGCAGCCAGGACTTGAACCGGCGCCCATATGGGATGTCGGCGCTTCAGGCCAGGGCTTTAACCCACTGCACCACAGCACCAGCCCCCAACCTAATTTTTTAACAGTGTGGGTTCTGGAACCTTACAAACCTAGGTTCCATTTCTAGCTACACTCTTCCTGTGTATCCTTGATGATCAATTCTCATAACTTTTTTGTTGTTACTGTAAAGATTTACTTATTTGAAAGGCAGAGTTAGAGAGATCTTCCATCTGCTGGTTCCCTCCTCAAATAGCCACAATGGCCAGGGCTGGGTCAGGAGCTTGGAACTCCATCTGGTCTCCCACATGGGGCACAGGGGTCCAAGTACTCCAGCCATCTTCTGTTTTCCCAGGAACATTAGAGGGGGCTTGCTTGAAAGTGGAGCAGCTGGGACTTGAACCAGTGCTCATATGGGATACTGGCATATACCTTGTGCCACAGTGCTGACCCTTATAACTTCTTTTTGTCACATGTGGGGGAGAAGAAACTTCATACCTTGCAGAGCTAGTGTGAGGATTAAAGATAATACGTGTGACAGTCTTAGCACAGTGCCTAACACACAGCCACAGATAATTATTTCTTCTGTCACATGTTATAAAACCAGTTTGGTGTGTATAGTATTACTACCATGAATAATTAGAGAATAATTAGCTTGACTTAGCTCATGATAAGAAAATGCATATAGGGTTTGGTGTTGTGGCGCAGCAGTTAAGCCCCCTCCTGCAATGCGAACATCCCATATGAGCGCTGGTTGGAGTTCTGGATGCTCCACTTCCCATCCAGCTCCCTGCCAGTGTGCCTGGGAAAGCAGCACGGGATGGCCCAAATACTTGCTTGGTCCCCTGCACCCACATGGGAGACCTGGAAGAAGCTCCTGGCTTCAACCCAGCCCACTTGTGACCATTTGGGGAGTGAACTAGTTGATGGAAGATCTCTTTCTCTCTCTCTCTCTCTCTGTAACTCTGCCTTTCAAATAAATAAAAATAAATCTTAACAAAAAAAAAAAAAAAAGGAAATGTATTTAGGCTCTCAGTTCTCTCCTGAGATGCCTGCCTGGTCTATTGGATATACTTTTCCTCATTAAACTTTGCTTCAATATTTACCTGCAAAAAATGGATATAAAAGCTATAGATGTTATCATTGATGGACAATCTCTTTACTTAGCTGATATTCAGTATGGTGGGGAGCATCATTTCCTTGTGCCTTAAAGCAAAGGAAATAAATGTTTAAAATATTTTATTTATTTATTTGAAAGAGTGAGAGATCTTCCATCACTCTCCAAATGCCTGCAACAGCCAGGGCTAGAACAGACTGAAGCCAGGAGCCTGGAACTCTTGAGTCTCCCATGTGGGTGGCAGGGACCCAAGTGCATGGGCCATCATACGCTGATTTCTCATGTGCATTAACAGGAAGCTGGATTGGAATAAAAGCAGCCAACACTCAAACTGGCACTCTAAGTGGAATGCAGTCATTGCAAGTGATCTCTTAACTGTGCCACCATGCCTGTCCCAGAGGATGCATTTATATCACCTGACCCATCATATGAAATATTTACTGGACTTGGAGTGATAATATAGAACATGAAGTATTTAAAATAAGGATGATTCTTGAGAGCTATTGATTATCTACCCTGTGCCCAGTGGTGTAGTAATGTTAAAAGTTACCGTGATGCTTCGTACATGTGTGTTTTAAATGTTACTGATGTTACGTCTATTCATTAAATAATACTACATAATAGTAATTCTATTGTAGATATAATGTATAATCCTCCTAATAAGGAGGATTGACTTAAGAGTGTTGTCCTAATTTTAAAATAAGGAAACTGAGTCACAGATTTAGTAACCTGCCCAAAGTGTACAGAGTAAGTAATGAGGCTGAGCTCAAACCAGGGCTGATTGTTGAACCAAGGCTCTCTTCACTGTGCCCCATGCTTTTCTGAAGTTGGTGCTGTGTGCTTTATTGGATTGGTTTAACAAAAGAAAGCATCTCTGAGAATGAAATGGCTTGTGGTCTAGCTCATACTAGTAAATTCGCTCATGCTTTCTCTGTGCAAATAAGGAGTAAGTGGTACTCCAGAGAAGAGAGAATTCTTCCACTGTTTTACAAAACCTTGCAAGAGCTCCTCAGGTATAAACTCCTAACAATAAATGCAAGTAGCACTGAGGTCCAAAAAATGTGCTACCTTCAGTTATATAATAAAGCATATTTAATATTAGACTGCAGCCCTCACTTCATACGGGATTATTACTGCTGCAATAACCCCTCTGTTGGGAAGAAGTGTCTCTCTTTATTCCATTGGTTGTTATCTGGTGTAAGAACATGCTGTTTCCTTGTTAGTGCCTGCCAATTTGAACACAGTAGGTCACACAGTAAGTGGAAGGGGCTTCCGCGTGTGCCCTTGCTGGTTTCCAGTACCAT